AGGCCGGGGATAGCTCAGTGGTTCGGTGGCCTGCCTTGCAAGTGCAAGGACCGGAGTTCAATCCCCGGTACCTAAATAAACACATAAATAAATAAAAAATTATCAATGTCATGAAAGATGCCCCCACAAAACAGAAACACAACATTAACAACAAAAAACCCAAAACATATTGGGGAACCATTCTGGACTAACGGAGACTAGAGAGACATGATAAATAAATCCAATGTATAATTTACTTCCTGGACTGGAAAACTGCAGCCATAAGACACATTATTGAAACAAGTGGGAAAATGGATATACGGGTTATATTTTAAATAGTATAATAAATAACAATATGTTAAATTTGAGTGACGCTTTATTATGGCTAAAAAGATAATGGCCTTTTTCTTAAGAGATGCGTGCTTAAGTAATTAAGGGAGAAGAAGTCCCATAATTTACAACTTAACTGCACACGGTTCACACACAAAATGTGCACATGTGTTTGTGCACACACGTCTGTGTGTTGCATCTGGGGATGCCAGGGTCCTTTCCTACCTGGAACTTGTCCGAACTGGGGTGGTTCTTCTGGGCTGTCACAGATGGACCCCAGGCCCGACCCTAACCTGGGGCCACTGTCTCTGGGCACATTTCTAAGTTGACCCACTTGTCCTCGTCCTTATCTCTGGAATTCATAGGGCAAGCTTAGAAGGACCCTTGTGTAGAAGGCTGAGTTAGTGTCCAGGTGTGGGACACACGCCTGTAATGCCAGCCCTTGGGAGGCTGAGGTAGTGGGATGGCAAGTTCAAGGCCAGCCTGGGCTACAAAGCTAGATTCTGTCTCTAATAATAATAATAATAAATAATAATAAAATAAAACAAGATCACAAGGTTGAGTTAGTGATTTATCTAGTGCAGTAACATAGTCACCCTAGAGTGGGAATACATATATATAGCCACACACGTGTGTACATATATGTGTGTATACATGTGTATCTTTACATGTGTGTATATGTGTATATATGTGTACAGAGATGCTCAGGTGTGTATTTTTGTACACTAAATAGTTTTCTTTTAAGTGGTCGCTCCTTGTCTCATTTTACTGGAGGTGGGCGAGGGCAGCTACCCCGGCCAAGCACCTGGCTCCCCTATGCTTTGCCTGTCCACCTCCTCTGTCTTGTCAGTTGCTTTCTCCAGTAAAGTTTTAACTTCTCCTAGTCAGGATTTGCCAGAAAGCCCATGAGGCTCTTATTTTATATTTTTTCCTGCCTACAGGCCCCTTTTCCCTATAGATCTATATATTTTGGGGTTCAATGTCCTATTCTTGCAAACCTTCTTAGGTTTAATATTTTGCAAAATAAGTCATTGAAGAAGAAAGCTCCTAAAGAATTCCCAGCAGTGGATGTCACAATCTGACCTTTATTCTAGCATGATAATTCTGAGAGAATTTATTTCAAGGGGAAAACTAAGAATAAGAGGCCAGGGGTCAATTTATCATGAAGCTAATGAAGCTAAAGCTTAAAGGCCCTTCCTTGCCCTTTTGTTCATTTCCAAAGGCCTGGGAGAAACTTGAACAATATTCTTTCACAGGGTCCTAAGATCTGCCAAACTTGCAAAATAAGACATTGTAACTGTATTTGATTGAGACCACTGTCTCTTTCCATTCTAATTAAATTTATCTCAACCAGGCAGCTCTCCAGAAACCATGGGAGATTCTACTATTAGGGGAAATTTAACTTTAGGTTTTGAAACTTTTAAGTTGTAGAAGTGGTTTTCAGACACTTGGTAAACGTCCTAGTACATGAACAATGCTCAGGAACATCTCTGCCACCTACAGTGCATGCATATTTGGCAGCTGACACTGGAATGCTGAGTTGAAATATGAATATTAACACAAACCGTTGTCTGAGGCCAGAAAGATGTGAAAAGTGAAGAAACGTGCCAGGAGGAAGACTGATTGCCACCCTCTTCTCTCTCAGAAAATACCAATCAAAACCTACATAGCCCCCAAAGATCACTGAGTTTGAGATTTATTTAAAATGTAAAATTAAAAGAGCTTTTAAAAAAATTTTTTTGGGGAGTACCAGATTGAACATGGGACCTTGCGCTTGCAAGGCAGGCAGTGGAACCACTGAGCTACATCCCCAGCCCAAAAGAGCTCCTTAATCAACTAAACGTTGGGGGTGGGACAGAAAGGCAAGTCTAGCGCCATTCTAGTTTGGGTGCAGGGAGAGGCTTTGTGTTATTCACAGATGATTGGAGGTGGAGAACTGTATGGATGGAGACACAGGTCAGGAGAGAGCTCAGACAATCACTGTGCACTGATAGAGGAAATGATGAGCAGGTTAATGGTCTGGATAAAGAGGGAGAAGGAGAGCCTCAGGATGGATCCCCAGGAGACAACTTCATGATGGTTAATACTCATTGCTGGGGTCAGAGAAAATTAGAAGAACCAAGAAAAAAAGAGTAACATTATTAAGTGGAGTAAGAGAAATGTCTGAATAATTTAAAGGAGAAAATTGTAACTGCAGTGTATTAAATTTGGCAATAAGGATATAACTAGCAACCCCACATGAGAACTTGGTGAGAAGGTGAAATGAGACTATGGTAGTCTAGACTATAAAGTAGAAGTAGGCCAGAAGAAGGAATAGGAAGTGGACTCAGGAAGTATGGGCAACTCTTTCAAGAACCATGAGCAGAAGGAAAAAAAGCAGAAGGACGGGGAGGAGAAAGAGGAAAAAAGGAAGAAGGAGTGGAGGAGGAAGAGAAAAAGACAGGGAAGTTGAGAGGATGCAGGGGCAAGGGTAGGTCAAGCTTGCTTTATTTGTATCTACTAGTGCTAAACGTACACTAAGCCTATGGCCTAGGGAGCATCAGAGTTTTGATACTATTCCTAAGTATCACCAAAAGGAGAAGAGATGCTTAAGTTATGGCATCTTCATACAAAAGAATGCAAAGCAATAAAATGAGCCAACTACAGATAAGCACTACATACAGTACTATAAAATTCCATTTGTATGAAGTTCAAAAATAGGTAAAATTAATGTATGCTGCTAGAAGTAGGAATAGCAGTTGCCTTTGAGGAGAGGGGTTATTAGCTGGGAAAAGGGCCCAAGGGAATTTTCCAGGAGCACTGCAAGGATGTGTACACAGGAACAAATGCACTAATCTATACCCTAAGATCAACGAGCTTCACGTCCTTCACTTTTCTAAACAGCAAAAAAAAAAAAAAAGTTTCGAAATTAATGAATAAAAATAAAATGTCAAAGACAGCTTTACTGAGGAAATGCCACCAAGAAAATCTGTAAAATACCACCAAATCTTAGTGTACCTTGGGCTGGCCCTGAATTATTAAACAATCATATGCAGAACAGCAGTGACTGGAACTGCCTGAACCCCAAAACAGGCCATCTGCAATGGGGGAAGCGATCCTCTCCTCAGGCATCACTGCCAGGGTTTTCAGTTCTCTCTTCCATCCACCTCAAAAGTCTGCTCCCACGCCTACCTCTCTACCCTTCCTCTGGGGAGGACCTTTGAACTGTCAGAAGGAGCGTTCTAGGGCTCACAGAACAGAATCACTGGCTTCTTTCAGGGCTGTGGAAGAACAATTTGAGACACATGTGTAGTAACAGAATCACAACAGAACTTTGGGATCCTCTCTTTTGCTGTATGATTACCATATCAAACAGAGATATTTGATATCTGATACCATATCAATTAGCTGGCATTTGAACCCATAATAATTTTGTTTTTCAAACAAAATCAATTAATCATTAATAAACAGCTTTATTTAAACTTAAGGTCATACATGCACACTCATTATGAAAAGAAAATTCGAAACTTACCATTTTGTCTGGTACCAACTGCAGCAATGATGACTGGAACTGAATTTAATGCCCTTTTTATCACTGGAATATAATTATCTTTTACTTCATGGAATGAAAACTTGTCGTTTACATTGTATTTGATCACAATGATGTCAGCACTCCCAATTAGGTTTCGGGACGTGTACCAATCACTGTCAAAAATGTCCTAGACCAAAACACAGACAAGCAAGCTTTAGTCTACTCATCTTCAAATAAATCATGAAATAAACTACAGCATTCTGATTCAATGTTTTTGCTATATTTTCTTTTTGGAATGAATATAATTTGTTTTTGAATAGGTACCTACATAATATTAAAACTGTTTGCTCTCTGCCAATTTTTTAAAAAATTTGTATTCATTCATCTTATGCACTAGCTGAACAAGCTAAAGAATTCTTGAGTTTGATAAAATAAGCAAGCTCTTTCAATGTGTGTAGTTAAGAACAAGCACTTTGTTTTAAAATTATACTGTTTTTTATCACTAATAATTTTTAAAATGTAACGACATAGCATTAGATGCAAGCATATCAGTAAGAGCAGCAAAGCTTCAGAGGATTTTCTGTGACCTAGTTAGACACTGCAGGATTTTTCAGTACTTCAAATCGCAAAACACTGAGAATTCCATGTATTCCCTACGTGGCATTCACCTTAGAAAAATCCACGTGTACTTTTCAATGCATAACTGTGTTAAAGGGACAATAACACGGGAAGGAATATAATTGCAATTCATGTATTTTGCTCCCATAATTCCGTACAGACCTTTCCAGTTCTAAACTCTACTTTCATACTGCCACTAATAATGTTTATATTTAGAATTAGGGCCATGAGTAAATTTGTGTGCAAATAGTAGGGTAAAGAAAAATTTATATATCCTAATTCTGTTGCCAAATATGCACGAGTCCCTTTCTTCTCATAGACTGGTTAAATATTAATCACTATCTGTCCTTTCCTATGGCCTTCAGGATGCATTTCTAGGATGTCACAAAGCTAGACTAAGGAAATCAGAGAGTAGATGGTGGCTGGCCAGGCAAACTCTGTGTTGGGCTATGAAAGTTTGCACTTTGAAACTGAACCCAAAACGGGTGAATAGTGTTTGAATCAACTCGTCAAGGTCAAAATGATGAGACAGACCTTTTATCCTACGATGGAAATGTCCACATAACATGGAGGAACGTTCTACAGAAATGCCCGTTTGGGAACTGAAGTGTCTTCCCATTCCCTATACCCAACCCCACACCTGTCCATCTCTCAGAAGCACCCTCTGAGACACAGCATTTCCAGACATAAATACAGTATTGAAAGTGCAATGGATAGAGCAGGTGTGAAGAAGGAAGTTTAAATGAACAACACACAAAAAAAGGTAAACGGGACTATCAACACTAAAGGGAAGAGACTTAACTTGGTAGAGTGTACGGGCAAAGACTGAGAACCATTTGCCACATGGCCCAAGAAAATGCAAGCATTGGGCCAGGGATTTAGCACAGTGGTTGTGCTGCCTGCGTCCTAAGCTCAAGGTCCCGAGTTCGATCCGCAGTACCAAAACAAGAAAAAAAGAAAAATGCAGGCACTTCCCAAAAGAACCCTACACCAACTTCCAAATTCCAAACCACAAAACCCATTCGGTTCCAGCTGTATCTGTTACACTATTCAAGTTCAAAGTATTCAAGTACTACAGAGTACACAACAAAAAAAGGAAGTCAAAGTCAGAAAACTAGGATTCAAAACTTAATGTAAATGCAACCAATACTAAGTAGCCATGTAACTCTGACAGGATAAATCAAAAGTAGCTGCTTTACACACTTCAAAGAGTTCAAAATTCCAGGGTTGCTGGAGAGGTATATGGAGGAAAAGAGACATTTAAGGGAAAATACCATGGGGGAAAAATGTGTTTGGGAGCTGGGTGTAGTGGTGGTGTATGCCTGTCAGTAATCCTAGCACTCAGAAGGCTGAGGCAGGAGGATCACTACAAATTCTCAGCCAGCCTGAAATACATAGTAAGACCCTGTCTCAAAAAAAAAAAAAAAAAGGTTCAGACATCATTAAAATCTATAGTATCAAGTATATAAAGATTCTGAGTACTTTTATTTGTAAAACAAATCAGAAGCTAGGAGTTGGGGCATACACCTATAATCTCAGCTCTTCAGAGGCTGAGGCTGGAGGGTCACTGCCACGTTTGAGGCCAGCCTGAGCTTCACAGTGAGTTCAAGGCCAGTCTGAACTACATGAGACCTTATAAAAAAAAAAATGGAGCTTAAAACGTGCAGGAGAAAATTGTGAATGCATTACTTCAATGCCTTTTTACAAAATGCTTGGTAAACAGGAAACATCTAAAAATGAGAAATGAAATAACGTAACTGTTTGAAAAAAGAGGCTGATGAGAGAGTGATACTAAATACTAGACTACATCTAATACACTTGAAGCATATTTATTTTAAGAATGCCAACTATGTACAAGGAGTCAGAGTAAGGTCAAGGATCTACACAAAATAACTAGGGAAGGGAAGTACAACTACCTCATTCCAACCCCAAGGCAGCAGCAACACATTTCTTCTTGAGCTTTGCCAAAGAGAAAATGCTCCACTGACTTAGAGAATTATGAAGGAAATCAAATGCTCCCACCCCTTGCAAATCAGTTCCAGGATTTCCTCTAGGGGGTTATGCAACAAAGGGCTTGGAGCCACATCTGGAGAACTGAACTCATCTTAAAAAAAAAAAATCTAAATTTCTACAATGAAATAATTTTATTCTTATTCTATTTGTGGGCCTGTAAATGCAGCACTGAGTAGGGACTAAAATTGCTGTCCAGATGTCCTCTATTGGTACAAATTTTTGACTGATGTTAGGGTAAGTGACATACAACTGTACTAAGGGTCTCATAAACACTGGGTTATAATAATAGCTATTGCTTACACCCACTGAAGCCAGCCTTTACATTTACAAAATTTTACCCTATCTCACTCATTCCTAACACAACCCTAGGCAGCAGATTAGCATGATTACTCTGTAGATAGGGAATTAAGGCCAAGAGAAGGCAAATGATTTATCGAAGACATGAAGTGGCACTATAGAGATCTGAAATCACGTCCTTTTGATATTAAAACATGTGCTCTATCTGCTCTGCTAAGTTTATATTCTGATTCAGTGCAAAAGTCAGTACCAGCTGATTGACACAATCAATTCTGGTATCTCTGACAGTCTTTACTCACCACCAAGAGGAAAAAGCACCTTAGAATGTGGAACTCTACAGATGTAATCTACTACGTCCAAGGACCCATTAGAAATTGACCAATTATTTTCTCTACATTTATTCACTCTATCCACTAAATATTTGTTCAACTGCATGTAGAACCAATAAGATTTTAGACTGTAAGATCTTTCATAATGAAAAGGCCAAAGTAAAAGAAATAATTCATTTGACTGCAGAGATTCCTGCCAGTAAGTTTTCCATAGAAGCTTCTTATTGGCAACACCATCATCAGCATTCCCAGGAGTGTAATAGCGTTGCTTATACCAGAAGGCCCTGCCTTTAATTTATTTCAGCACATTAACATAACTTTCTGTTCACTGAAAATGGGTGGGGACAAGTGATTTCATCTTTCCATAAAATGGAAAATGATATAATAATTTTTAAAAGTGTATTCTACATATTTCTTTAGAAAGATATGCTAATTCCCTATGGCCCTGATTCAGGGTTTTTAAAATTGCTGTTTAAATGTAAAATCTCAAATAATGCTAATTTGCATATTTCGAACAGTTTCTTCTGTTACAAAAAATGCAATCTTATAGCCATAATATACCAATAGCAATACGGGTAAAGAATCAGACATTTTCAAATAGGATTAAATAAAAATATTCGCTTATATATATAACATGTTATTGTGTACTGAAAATATTTATGTGTCGAGAAGCAAATTCCTTCATCTTTTTATTAAACACCCAAGAATCAGGCTAAAATGTATCAATTTTACAATTTCATTCAATCAGCACACATTTAAAGATTTTTACGAAACATTAATACCATTTGTGACTCACGGACCGTTAAACACAAACTGGCTAATACAAAAACGTATCTGCGTTATTAAAATTGAAAACATTCACGCCTTTTCGGCCACGTATACTGTTTCTGGACCGTTCCCGGTCTGCGTGGAGCTATCAGAGGGCTGTATTTATGGCACTCTGATATGACCCTATCCTCACAGGGCTGCGGGAAAACACACTGCTCTTTCTAGTGAAAGTTGGTGACCCTGCCCCTCGGGGTTGGCACATTCAACTGTCAGCTGTGTACGCAGGGACAACTCACACACAAGTGCGTGCTGGGGACTGACTCGGTCCTCCGCCCAGAAACAAAGGACCTACGATTTTCCCAAAATGTAAAAACAAGACCCTACCCAGGTAAAGTGGACCCTCCACATTCACATTCACAGAGGCGGGGACAAAGGGCAGCCGCCGCCCCTTACCCAGACGGGACAGTCGTGGACCAGGAGCTTGACGTTCCCGAACGCGCTGGCCTGGTACTCGGTGAACACCGGCCGCGCCACCGTGCCCGCCGCGTTCAGCAACAAGCTGCTCTCGTCCCCGGAGACCAGAGGGCTTCTCCCCAGGTAGGTGCGGATGAGCCCCGACGGCCGCTGGTCCTGGTGGAACGCGTCGCCCTCGTTCCCCAGCGCCACGATGTGAATGGACCTGCACGGGCACAGAGCGGGCGAGGGGCAGGG